AATCCCTGTCGTGGGCGCCTCCACGGGAACATTTGTATTTCTTTAGCATCAATAGAGCCAACTTTTAGTTGATAATATAACTATTATTATTATTATTATATATATATATATATATATATATATATATATATATATATATATATATATATATATTAGTATAAATATACATAAATATGCAAAAATATAAAAAATATATATACATAGGTGCATACCCATACATATATATTTTTTTGAATAAAAATTCCAAGAGGATAGAATACATTAGACATCCGGCAACATTCATATTTCTCTTACTTAAACCTCTTCCACTCACCTCTCCTAAAATTCTCTCTGTTAAGGTTTAATCTCCCTCCTTCTCTTGCCTGTTGCCCCTCTCTTTAGCTCTAACATTCGTCCCACACCCTCATACTTACACTCTCTCTAAATTCTGTTTTTATTTTCGGAGTTGTTTTTTCTGTTTTCTTTTTGAATTTGTAGGTCTGATGAATTGGATCGTATTTACGATTCCAATGGAATAAATTATGACCATGGAATATTAGTGTTTAAGCCGTTTTATTATATATATATATATATATATATATATATAATAAAAAACAGTGCTCAATGTTAAATAACATAACTATGTAATATATTAAAAAAAATAGATAAATCCCTAGAATGGTTGAACAACTCGGAGTTTCATGCTTATGCAATATTCAGCTGCATATTATTTTGGATAACACCAGTTTTATTTTTTAAATATTTCTGGATTTGCCAAGATGTTTTATTGGACTGTTATTTTTGTTAATTATTTAAATGAATGGTAGTTTAATATTCAATTTCATTTTAGCCCAAGATTCACATTTAAGATTGAAAATAAGAATCATAAATTCGAATTTAAAATTTAAAAACAGACGCTGATTTTATCAAAAGGAAGAAACTTTTGGAAATCAAGTGGGTAAGTGGGTAATCAATAAAGAAGTTAATAACAGTATTAATATTAACAAATATACAATAAAATAAAATTAAAATGCTAATAAAAAATAATACAAATCAAAGAAAATATAATATAAAATCAAATTAAATTAAATCATATAAATAAGAACATATAAATATGTAAATAAACAAGAACAAATAAATAAATAAATAAACAAAAATAAAAACAAAACAAACAAATAAATGAATAAATAAATAAACATGAAAATAAAAACGTTTCCACTAATAAGGCTAAAGGTAAAAGTAAGTTAAAAACAATAATACTGGGTATATATTAAAAATGGAAATAATAATAATAATAATGAAAATAATAGATTAGAAAAATGCTTAATTCATTACAGTCTAATTATAGTAATAAATAAATTAATATAAATAGTTTTTGTCCCCAAATAAAAACTACGTAACGGCTGCTCATTAACTCACTTCTTTTGTTTAAGAGTTTCGGATTGTTCCTATTATTCATGATTGTTAATGTTTCAAATTTCCTGTTAAAGGGTTCAGCTTTCGTTATATCATTTGGTGGTCGTAATATGGTGTTTTCCAGTGGTTTTCCGTAGTACCCACATGAATCTTGACTCCGTCGTCATATTTGATTTTAGCTTTATAAACCCTGCCCACAATTGTCGGATGTATGACCAAAAAGTTAGTTCTCTATGCATTTAAGACTTACTTTATCTTTGCTTTCTTTTAACCTAATTACCTTTTAGCCATTTCCTTATTGCTGGAATTAGTTGTTAATCTGTATTAAACTGATTTAACTACACTGCGTGCCAAATTATTATCGAGATAACTTTTTTCTAATATTTCAAAAACGGTCCAATCAATTCACACAAAATTTGGCAATACTGACCTACGCAATCACTGAAATTTTGTACTGATCTGCGCAATGTAAACAAACTGGCGACATATTTGTTATCAGCCATTTGAGCGTGCCAAATAATAGAAAGGTTTAGTAAAATTCCCAGAATTGAGCAAACAAAACGTTTATTAATGTTGCACGAATGTTTATGATCAAAAAAGCTAATAAATAAGATAATCAAACAAATAATAATAGATCAAACAAATTCACAGTTTTAAACAAATTAATAGGGATGTGCTTTCCCTGTTTTGAAATTACTTGAAAAAGTCGACGATCCATAGAATTTGTTAATTGTAGGATGTCATCTGCTGTAATGCGGCGAGATATGTCAAGAATTGCTTCCCCACAACTCAGCGTTGCTCCTGGTTGTCGTCCGTTGGCGTACAGTCTTAGCTTCATGATGCTCAAAGGTTTTCGATTGGGTTCAAATACGGAGTTTGCTGGCCACTTCATTTTTTCGAGGTCCATTGAAGCCTAACTGTTTCAAATATTCAGTAGTCTTGTGAGCAACATGTGAGGGAGCATTATCTTGTATAAAACAATGGCCCTTCTGAAGGCAAGTCTTTGCCTTTTCATCCACGGTTCAAGATTTTCATAAACGCTATGTATGCATCTGCAGTCATTTTGACGCCATCTGGTACTCTCCATGGGCCCACTAATTTATTTCCAATAATACCATCCCATATCATTATGCCTCCACCGCCTTGTTGGCGTCTCAAACGCTGATGGCGATTCTGTCCGTTCATTACCCAGCCTTTGCACCATCTATCTGGCCCATCAAGTGTTGCTTGAGTTTCGTCTGTGAACAAAACTTTAGAGAAATCAATCTTCATATTGTCCTCGGCCTATTTCAATCGATTTTGAATGTGATTTCTCTGACGAGAAATCACATTCAAAATTTGTTGTTGCTATTTCCCTCAGATACCGACACCGAGTACTTTTAGACACAGTAGCATCCCCAATGCGACTGAAAAGCTCTTGGCTGGTAAATCCAAAGTTCTTCGTGGCCTCTCGTTTAAGTCGTGACATGAGACGACGTGAAATAACCCTCGGCTTACCTTTATCTACCCTTTTGCGTACTTGTGTAGGGTCGGCGGTGAATTTTTCACTGTTTGATGACGCCTCCCTATCATTTTAGAAATTTCTAGGGTAGATTTATCTTTTGGGAGTTCTGAGGTGATAGTTTTCTTTTCAGCATCACTTAAACTGCTTTCACGGCCCATCTTTTCACTAAATTCGTATAATTTTCTAATAATTTGGCACGCTCAGGTCGACGTGCTGATAACAAATATGGCGCCAATTTGTTTACATTGCTCAGATCAGTACGAACATTTCAGTCATTGCGTAGCTCAGTGTTGCCAACATTGTGTAAAAATTTCGTGTGAATTGATTGGACGGTTTTTGAAATATTAGAAAAAAGTTATTTCGATAATAATTTGGCACGCAGTGTATAATAGGGAGGATAATATGATTCGCTATTTACATATCTCTGGTCATAACTCAACATATATATATATATATATATAATTGTATTAATATTGTTTATCTTGACAACAAAATTTTTTTATATACGTTTTAAATCATGTGACAAACTATAACAAAGTTATAAGTATTTTATTGATTTTTTCTAATGTTCAACATCACGTTTTGATAACGTTAGTCACAGGTTGGTTGTATTCTAAAGGACTCCCTAACATGGAATCACGATTTCCTCCAGCACGGTAGCAGATACTTTCTACTACTTTCACATCCTACAACTTAGAACATAATCTCGGAAAACATATTAACAGATATTCCGTTGAAAATAGTGAAAGCGATTATGACAATAACAAGTATAGACAGTTAGTACACTCTCTTATCGTCATGGGTGTGACGATAAACTACATCTGGCAGCAAGGAGATTGGTGGTTTTGAGGAGCGTGTGACCACCTCTTAATTGCTGTTGTTGCGCTGTCCACTCTGGCCTGGAGTGGTAGCAAATGTTTGCTAGGGACACACAGAGAAACCCCAAAGAAATTAATATGAAAGTATAAAAATATATTTTTTTAAAAGGTAGAAATACCAGCAATGCATTTTTAAATAAAAAATAGCAACGATAACTCTTTATCGTAAAATTGTCACCGATACATTTTTAAAGCGACATTTCATCTGTAGTTGAAGGGATACAATAGCGTTCAAAATATATTTATTTCAAGCCATTAAATTGCTAAAATTATTTACAGTTTGTTATTAAATAACCCATAGCGGTAGTGATATGCCGATAAATAAATCGACCAAACCAATACAGTCTCTTAGCCAGCCAATAACGAAAAGTGTCAGAACCTGTTGTAACCTAGAAAGTGTGACTGAATGAGGAATAACCAAAGCGGAGGTTGCAAACAAAATGGTAATCTTTATAACATCAATAAAATACAATACTCACCAGCGTGATGTAGGTAAACCACTGCTAATGGTGAACTACTTAGACAGCATATTACTCCTTCCCCTACTTACAATAGTACCCAACGTATTTATGAGGATTGGGACATACCAATTAATGTTCATAGGTAGGGTATATAACAGAACCTTAGACAAATAAAGTTCTTCTTTTAAACATTTCACCCCCTGCAAGGCAATAATGCCACTAAGACGCAAGAACAATTAACTAGTAGAGAATAGGATCAAAATACTTTTAATGAGAGATAACAAGAATAAAAAAAGACAGAAGATAACGATTGACATTGCCTTTAAATGTTTGAAAATCAAAGTTGATTGGGAAGCTAGAAGCCGGAAGAGAGTTCCCAAGCGAGAAGTACGAGAGAAGAAACTGTTAGCATAGAACTTGCGGTTACAGCTAGCCATTTCAACTGTGAAATGGTGAGAAATTGCTGCCAATCTGGTACTGCGCTTAAATTCGTAAACTTTAGGCAGCATAGAGGAAGTTTCTGCAGAACTATTGCCATGAAATTATTTATAGAAAATGCACAGGGGAAGCTACGTTACGGCAGTGGGAAAGTGACTGAAGCCAAGATGCCTGGTGCAGGACCAATAACAATATTGGTAAGCATTTTCCTCCTTTCTAATGTTACTACTTCTTTCTGTGCCACTTTTACCCATTGTCATTAATAATATTTCGCATATTATTTAAATATATTTATTTTCTTCATTTTAACTTCTAAACTGAGAGAAAGCGAAACTTGAACCGAACCTACGGTCGGATGCTCGTTTACGCCAGACAGTTAATTTATTTTCTTTTTTTTGGTATAGATTAAATATTAACTCCTATTCTTTCTTTCTTTCTTTCTTTCTTTCTTTCTTTCTTTCTTTCTTTCTCTTTTTTTTCTTTTGTTTGGCATCATCTAAAACATTTTTTATATTACATAAACGAACGACTGTTTTTCAGTTGAATCTTTCGGGGGAATCTGGTTATCTTTTAAATCTCTTAATGCCGTTCGGAATCCTGGCTTTACGTTAAAAGCAGCGGTAACACAATTGAGTGACAGATGCATTATTATGGCCCGGCCTGCACATTATTGATGGTGCAAAAAAGTATTTCCTATTGTCTAAGCAGAAAATTCATCGCTGTCGCTATTTTGTGATTTTTCTTTTCCCAGAGATCGTGTAGCTAAACTCTTAGAGAGGAAAAGAGAAAAATGGCTCGGCGAAAAACTATTATGAAAGCGGAAGTTTGTGACAGTCAGAGAAGCACTGAAAACTGATGGATGCCATAGTGTTATGGTAACTGCATAGTGAAAAGAGAATTAGTCTGATTAAAGCCATTTCGCTAAATTTGTGTACGCAATCGTACTAGCCAGAGACATTTCTCTTCGATTTTCGAATTCATGTACACACAGGAGAACACGTCATCAAGTAGGAGTTTGAATAAAATGCGTATTTTTGCCTATGTATCTGTAGAACTTAACTAACAAGAGGATATATATATTAATTCGCTTGAGGATGAAATGGAACTAATTTCTTTAATTTAATTGCAAAATTAAATTCGTGGCTTTTAGCTTCAATTTTTGAAACATGGTTAGAACTGTGTAGCGGAAAAAAACATATTTTAAATCAATTAATTTATAATATATATATATATATATATATATATATTTAAGTTATGAAAAACTTGGTAATCCGTATGGGGTTTTTTGAGGGTAATATTACAGATTTTGTTTTCTTCTTATATATCACATACATACTTATATGAAGCATTAAAATCTATTCTTTACATAAATTGCTAAAACCCAATTACAGCCTCTTTCTCTTTACTTTCCTCTCCCTCTTCTTTCTTTTTTTCTTTTTCTTTTGATAAATCTCTTCTCCCCTCCCATTTCAATATATCACTTCCGTTGAGTTAACCGTCTAAATAGGTCAAGGTCTGGTCACTCCTCCTCCCCCAATACTAATTATGATTGAGAGAGATATGAAATTAAACCCTCCCTAGACCCTACCATGTCTCTTTAACTTCTCCTTTTACACTCTCTGTTAAATTACAACACCGTACACTACCCATCAATTTTAATTTCATTTTTCGTTTCATTACATATTTGGAAGTGCTATCTGATGATCTGGTGTCCTTTAAATGGGCTCTGGTGAAATAAATTATTATAATGGTACCTTAAAGTGGTCTTTTTTCTTTTAATATATATATATATATATATATATATATATATATATATATATAAACCTTCTTATTTCCACGTACGATTTAACTAGATAATACCAAGTTTCTCAAAAGGCATTTAGTTTGTTTCCTTCTAAAGCCTAATTAAACTCTCTGTTTCGTTTTATTTTATGATTATGCTTAGAACATTGCTGCCACATATGGGTCGGCGCCTCTGCTACTACCCTTGATAAAATCTAAAGAATCAGCAATATTATTGGTCCTGATCTGGCATCTCGGCTTCACTTACTTTCCCACCACCGTAAGGTTACCTGACTGCGCCTTTTCTATAAGTACTTTCATGGTAATTATTCGAATGATCTCTTCGCTATGGTACCTAGACTTTTTTAAATTTAAGCGCAGTACTAGACTGAAATTTCATCACATTACAGTTGACCTGGCTAGATGTAACCGTAAATTCTATGCTAACAAATGCTTTTCTCGCATTTCTCGCTTGTGGATCTCCTTTCATGTTTTCCAGGCTGCTTTAATTTGCCAAACTTTAAATGCAATATCAGTTGCTATCCACTCAACTTCTGATTACTCATTCCTCTTCCCGTCCATTATTAATGTTTCTGTTTCTAATTCATCTACACCTTGTAGCTTCTTGTGTCTTAGTAGCTTTACTGCCTTGTATGGCGTGATAATGCTTTTTTTTTAATTACTTAAACTGTATACTTCTGAAGTATCCACCTAAAACTCTGAAATTTATTCATATTTTTATTTATATTTTTTCCTCAATAGAATTAGATATGTTTGCCGAAAACTAAATTTTATTGTCTAAATGCTTATGTTATTATTAAGAGGAAAGACCAAAGTTTTTTTTTAATTATTTTTAAAAATTTTCCTTCTTTTTAGAACATTCTAAATTTTGATTAAAAAAACCTTTTTTCTATTTGTATCAGCGGAACTAGTAAATAACATAGACAATTTTAGCACGTTTTTTTGGTATGACACACATTAATTTGAAAAATCGTGCAAAAATAGAAATAATTATCGGATGTTAATGAAACTTTCAGGAACTATTCACAGATGATCGAAATTATTATAAATATGTTTTTTTATGAAAGTCATGGTAGAAATATTTTTTAAAAATATTTATTACCCCCCCCCCAACTAATTTTATGAAAACGCTAGAAATTCGATCGCATCGGTTTTAGTGATTACAATAATTAAAAGCACAGGGCTTTGAGGAATGCAAATCATGTTTTTTTTTGTTTTTAATTGGATACGCAGTACCTGAAAATCAGCTCTGAATTGTAACATACAAAACTCAATAAAACAAAGATATTATTTAATTTCAAATGCTTTTATTTGCTTTTAGTTGTTTTTTATGAATATGGACAATATTTTCTGAAAGCAAAAAAAAAATTTTCGATGAAAATGAATTTTTAATACAATTATTTGTTATTTCATTAATTATAATAGATTTTACATTTAAGTTGTTAAAATATTATAAAATTAGTTAAAAAGCCGCATCGGCTTTCATAAGTGTCCTTATGAGATAGATCTTTTTTTTTAGCGTTGTAAATTGTATCATTTTGACTAATCAGAAGATCCGCAGTAATTAAGAAATGTAATTTTGTGCTTATAATCGAGCTGTAATTATAAAATACGGAAGACCAACCAGAATATAATTAAGTTGCGTTATTTGAGTTAAACATTGTTCTCCGCTGTTAAGGCCTTTACTTTTTGCGAAACACGTGTGGAGAAGTTAATTTGATTTTTCAATTTCAACTGAGAAGGTACCTACAAGTATCAGTATCATCTTATGAAATTTATATGATCTTATTTTTATATTAATCTCAGTTACGACATTTTTCCATAAATGAAATATTAAAATTAATAATAAAATGAATGCAAATACAAATAACAGTAGAATGTAATAAATGTACATAAAATTATAGTATTTTATGTACAATTCTGATAAAATTTCATAAGAAAGGTACCTATAAATTAATTAGATACCTTTCTTAAGAAATATGAAATTTAATGTCACTCTTAACAGTTTTATTTTAATTTCTTTACAATATATTTCCCATAAAGCATTATAAACGTAAAGGTGAAATCTAAGTACAAAAAAAAAAAAAAATTAGACCGCTGAAAGTTTTCGTTAAAAAATAACGGGGTAAATAATTTGTTCACGTAAATGTAAAATATTTCACTTTTCTCCTTCCGTAGAACAAATTAGCCTCATGGAATTCGTAAATATATCATTCATCACATGTCAAGAGACGCGAAAGTTTATGACCTGCTTTGTTTTATTTTCAAATTACATCTTTTTTGGCACAAAATCTAAGTTAAGTTTGGTTCAAAATATTTTAAATAAATATTATAATTTCTGATTTTCTTAAAATAAGTTTTGAAAAATGATAATGATATTTAAAAAATTTCAAAGTCAGATTTCCAGTTTTTTTTTAAATGAAAAAAAATGTCAATTTTGCTGACTCAAAAAAACTAGATTTTTAAGGAAAATTTCGGACGTGCTAGGAACGATTAAAAAATGGAAAAAAATACCCCCAAAATACTTTGACCTTTCCTCTTAATAATAACAAACATTTAGACGATAAAATTTTGTTTTCGTCAAGTTTGACGTCTTTTTCATCATGCTATGCTCTTTTTTTAGCGATCTCCTGGAGGTACCTATGATAAGTAGTCAACTTCCGCCTGTCACTAACTTTACTATTTACTTTATTTCTTTTGGTTCTAGGTTAGTTGCGTACTGGACATTCGAGTCCCTAGTCAAATGCGCCCCTTGATAATTGCATACCTCTGATAATTTTTTGAAGCTTTTAAAGACAATTACCAGAAATTTTGAAAAACGCATAGTTGTTAATGTTAAATTTTTTTAAAAAAAGGAATTAGATGATTATTTTTGTTTAAATTGCATTGACAGATTATCACTATTGCATGGTCGCTCTGCAAATCCCTAGTATGCTTTTGTTTCATTGGCGTGTTTTTAATGGTAGCTGTAATTTTTGTCGTCCACAAATATTTTTCCAGCAGTGGTTGGTTTTCGGAACTTAGCCATAGGTTCCAAATAAAATATAATCTATAAAATCCAGAATCCATTAGATGTTTGTGGTACGCACTGCTGGAGTGAACTGACACTGATAGCCTAGTTTTCTTTTGCTTTAAAAAATAATTTTTTCTTATTTATTTATGGTGACTACCTTTCTGCTTGTTTAGAGTAATTACATTATTGGTGTGGGCATTTCTATATTAAACAACTCTTTAAAAAATGGTAACTTCATAAATTATCAGTGGTACGCAATTATCTAGGGACGCAAATGTCCAGGGACTCGATTGTCTGGTACGCAATTATTTGGGACACAAATGTCCATTACGCAACTGTCCGTCCATGATACCCCTTCTACTTAACATATGCAAATAGGTACAATCCTATTTATCAATCCACTAAAACTGTGAAATTTTATTTACTATTTATTTACATTTTTTTCCTTAATAGGAATAGATAGACGATTATACGGTTCAAACTTCTCCCACGCGTTTTGAACTAGAGTAGAGGTTTATCCCTTGTTTCCTGTTTAGGATTGAGTTTCCGGATGCTTCTGAAGTCTTTTTTCTTCTCTTTCACTTCGGATGTCCTCTTGCGTCTTGGTGGCATTATCATCTTCCTTTGGGTGGTATCTCTTACTCTGTAACCCTCTGCCTCGAGTGGCTCTTTGTTCTTGTACAGGGGGAAAATTATTTTGACAAAAATGGCTTGAAATAATTTTAACATCAATATTTTAGGAGTCAATCAGTCTACCAAGAATTCTCCATGATCCTAAAGCTTTCTAACTCTACCATTCGTGGCAATCGAAAATTTGAATGTAATGTCAACCGCCTTCTGTCTCCATGATTCTTGTTTTCCCTCAGTTTATTTTTTTCTCATTAACCCTCTTTCTCAGTAATTAAAAAAGGTTGACTTACTCACTATATACCATGTCTCTTCAGGACGTGTGTGAACGACAACTTCCTTCTTTTTGTTACTTTAAGCCAGTACTTCTCAACCTTTTTTCAGCCCATGGACCATTTTTTCTTAAAAAATTCAAATCGACCACTCCTAAGTTTTTTTTAGATTCATTTTTGTGAAATATCTACAATTTTTTTATGGCTACGAATTCTCTGTGGACCACTAGAAATGCAATGTGGACCATAAGTGGTCAACCTGGACCATGTTGAGAATCACTCGTCTAAACAACTCTCTTAATTTTACGACATCTGTGGTTTCGTTTCCGGCATTTATTTACACAAACGTCTCAACTCGATTATCTGCTGTTTATCTCTGCCTCTCTTATTTTAAATGTTTTTATACAAAATTTTACCCACTTGAGCACCACTCAGAATAGAGGGGAAAATCATAATAATAATGTTCAAGGGAGTGTGTAATATAGATAAAAGAGGAGGTGGTAGGAAGTGAGCCTTATGGCAATAAAGAGGAAAGATAACATGTAATACTTGAGTGAAGAGGTTCAAAATTGGATAGGAAAGATAAGATTTGATAATTTGGCTAAAGTGGTTCGAAATTGAAGAGGAAAAATAACATTTGAACTTTTGATTGAAGGTGGTCAAAATTTGAGAGGAAATATAACATTTGACCATTGATTGACGAGGTTCAAAATTGAATAGGAAAGATAACATTTAACCTTTGTTGAAGGAGTTCAAAATTGGTGAGGAAAGATAATATTTGACCGTTGATAGGAGATGTTCAAAATTGGTGAGGAAAGATAATATTTGACCGTTGATAGGAGATGTTCAAAATTGAAGAGAAAAGCTAACATTTAACACATGAATGAACTGGTTAAAACTTGCAGAGGGGAGATAACATTTGGCCCGTCATTGAAGATGTTCAAAATGGCAGAGGAAATATAACATTTGACCCTGAGACATGCCACCAAAGAAAAGAACATGCGTAGGTTGCAAAACAACTTTCGCCAGGTCCGCCATGCGAATAAGAGATAACGAATCGTCTTTCGAACGTTCAGTTTGCCTGTCTCAAAATGCTTCTCGGGATGCTTCAATCAGAACCATTGAGTCCGAAGATCAACATAGACAACGGCTTTCTAGAAGAGCATACCTGAACGCCTCTGTGCGTGAGACTGAACATGATGATCAAAAGACACAACGCCTGAGGAGAAAGGCATCTTCAACTGCCGCTGTGCATGAGGCTGAAATAAGATTGAGGACGCAAAAAACGGCTCTTTTTAGGGCAACCGCCCATTCAAATTTTTAACTCCCTATTTGCGGATATGCCTCAGTTGCACCCAATTGTTCTTACTAATATTGATTTTCGAGGTTCAAATTTGAAGAGGAACGATAATGTTTGCGTATTAGTGGCATTATCGCCTTTCTTGGGTAAATTAATTAATTAAAAAGATGTATCTTTTTGATTGCTAGCAATATATCTGTTTTTACTCTTATTATCACCTCCTTGTTTTCCTATACTGTGTCCATAGTCAGTTATTTGCCATGCGTGATACATGCTTAGGCGATCATGTATCTTTCGATACATGACTGACGAGGCAGATTTTTTTTCCTGCAGAAGGTTGCCATTTTATTCTGCAGTAAAACATTTGCGATTCAAGGCTATAGAAACTGGCGTCTCCTGTTATTTAACCATAGCTGAGGGCGAAGAAGAGAATTCATACCCTTCCGAAGAGTATTAGCACGTAAGTGAGTGTAATGGATTCGACTGAAAATCGAACTCGATTCCGAGCCGTTATCCATTAATCCACCATGCCTCCACTGTGTCCATTATATTTTAAAATGTCGTCAGTAGAACCCCACTCGCATTTCAAGTCTTTTCACAATCGTAGGAGGCACGGTGGAGTAATGGAAAACGGCTCGGATGGAGAAATCGTAGGACCGAGTTCGAATTCCAGTGGAATCCATTACGTTCACTTACGGGCTAATACACTTGGAAAAGGCATAAATCCTCTCCCCCCCCAAGTTTTGGGTAAATAGTAAGGCAGACCGGGTTCTATAGCCGTGGATGGCAACAGATTCTACCGCAAAAAGAAATGGTAACCTACTGCGGGGAAAAATCTGTTTCGTCAGTCATGTATCGAAAGATACATGATCGTCTAAGCGTGTATCACGCATGGCACATAACTGACTGGCCATTGGAAAAGCTATGAACCCTCTTCTTCATTTCCCAGCTACGCGTAAATAGCAGGACAGACCGGGCTCTATAGCCTTGGATGGAAACTGTTCTACCGCAGGAAGAAATGGCAACCTACTGCGGGATAAAAAATGTGCCTCGTCAGTCATGTATCGAAATATACATGATCGCCTAACCGTGTATCACGGATGGCACATAACTGACTGGCTGAGGTTAGATATTACATAGTAGTTTAGTACTGCCCTCTCCACACTTTTTTTTTAAGGTTATCATTCGAAAAGTTTATATATTGCTCATTCTTTGAATATCATATTTAGCTTTTCCGCTGCCCCTTCGGATTTTTGACTAAAATGTTTCCATCGTCTACCCAGTCAAACGTCTGCACTTTCTTAATTTCTTGGACTACCTCCCTCTTTTACTGACAAGCATGCATACAAATGTTTAGAAAAATATTAATATATAAATTTCGTTAGAAACAAAGTGAAAAATTAGTAATCTGTTATGTAATATCAGTTCTCTTTATAAGGCAGTGTATGTTGGACAATCTCCTCACAGATGTAGAAGAGGATGCCCTTCTACAGAAAAGCTTAGGGCCACATCACATTGAAACACCGGTTCACGTACGATCACCGAAGTTAAGCAACGTCAAGTTTGGTCAGTAGTTAGATGAATAACTGCTTGAGAATAACAGGGGCTGTAAGCTTCGATGTGCGGGTGGTGTAATGTATAATGACTCGAAGTGAGTCTAGTTCCAGTTAGGTTCGTTATAATCCTTTACGCACAAATAGCCTTGGGGAAGGCAAGAATCCATCTCTTCTTTTCCCAGCTATGGGTTAATTAGTAAAAATTGTTACTAAAACCATTATTATCTAGGAAAAGAATAAAAAATAAAATTGTGTACAAAATGTTTAAATTTTGATATGAAATAACTGATATGAATTAATATGCTAAAGCCAAAAAACCCACAAACCAAACAACAGAAGGATGCTGAGAATACAATGGACCGAACACGTGAGCAAAAACGAAAATTTTTTTACCAAATTGAAACAGAACGGACACGTATACTTAATATCAGGAAAGGACAGTTACAATTTCTAGGACAAATAATGAAGAAAGAAGGCTTGGAAAATATGATCCTCACAGAACAGAGAAGAATAAATCATAATCTTCCTAGCGAACTCGAGTAACTGAATTGGGGAACAGGTTGCAGCAGAGATATCAAAAAGATAAAACCTAGATGAAAAGGACAGGAAATTTTGGTCAGCTATGTACGCCAACGTCCTGAATGGACACGATAAAGAAGAAGAAGAAGAAGAAGAAGAAGAATAGGTTTTTCGTACTTCTTGTTTTCATTGCCGATAATAATTCTTTCAGCTCTTTTGCTCCTGAATTTGCTATTAATGCAGTGTCGTCTGTCTAGCGTACGCTAAGTTTACGCCTGACAATAATAAGTTCAGACAGCTCTTCTTAGAACCATCTCGCTGTATAAGTCTAGTGTGAAAACACGTCTTATTTTTATGTTTGTACATTCATTGACTTTATCTACAACTAAAATTTTATGGCTTATTTGAATAGATATTTCCCACACAGCTGTGGGACTAAAACAAAGCCTCCGTAGAGAGATTGCAGCCACTCCAGTTGCTATACTGTCACACTGTGTTTGAGATAAGAGAGTGATATCGGGCATGTTGTCTTCTTGACTATCTCTGGAATGTGATATTCAAATCTTAGATATGTTGAACTCTTCTCTAATAGTTATATAATAAATATATTTTGCACTCTATGTCAATTTTATAACCTAAAATATTTGCATTTAAAATGTGACCAGTCATTATGGGACGCTCTGTATTTGTAATAAGAAAAATAAAAGACTGTTGAATTCATGACATTTGCCAAGCTAAGTATAGTATGTTTCAATGGAAAGCTAATTGGGTCCTCGACAAAATCCAGAGACGGATATGAAATGTGGTTGGCCCTGATCTGACATCTGGTTTATAGTCACTCTCTAACAGTCTTTTTTTTTTTTTTTTAACAAATAAACGACGAGATGTAATTCTGATTTTTTGTAATTCCCAAGCTACATGAATTTAAACGTGCCACCAGGTCGGCATCTTAATCCCACCTTTTCACTATCAAAATGGTTAAATGTAGCCGTCTCTTCTACTCCAATAGCTTCATGCCTTCCACTTCCCGTCTGTGAAACTCCCTTCCTCTTAATTAGCTATAATCTCCAACTATTCAAATGCAATGCCAATCGGCATCTCCAGATGCCTTGATCTATTCCCCGTCCTTCTCTTTATCCTTTCCTCTTTCATGCCTAATTACTCTTCCTCCCATGCTCTGTAACCCCCTGCGCGCTAGTGACACTCCCGCCTTGCTTGGGGTGAAAAGCTTAAAAAAAATGGGGTTAAGAAGGCGGTTTACTTCATACGCAAGTAACACTTACCTTGAAAAATTTATCTTTTTTATACGTAACGAACGTGGAACCGACCTTTGTAAGAATTAAGAAGACACTCACGTGTGTGACAAAAGAAATAAGATAAAAGAGAAATAAAAGGTCAACAAGAAAACAAACTAACATTTATAGCTAACAAATACAGTGTAACCCGGATATAAGATAGTTGTCGGGACCGAGGAAGAAGTCTCTTATATCCGGATTTCTCTTTTATCCGGGTTTGGTCTATTTTGTTTAGGTAAGTATGGGAACACTTTGGGACCAGAGAAAATCTCTCTTATATCCGGGTTTCTCTTTTATCAGGGTCTCTTATATCCGGGTTACACTGTAAAAGCTTTATTATAATTTTACTGATTATTGTCAGTAGCTAAATACGAGAAGAAAAAAAAAACATAACGGCTGACAGTTAGAAATACTTCAAAATAGCTTCGGATCAGGAGTTGCTGGGTTTTTGTAAAACAGTTTACATGTCAGGTCAGTGAATGGTATTAAACGAGCCGTTTTGAAGCAGATTTCAGGAAACAACTGACTTTGCCAGCCAACTTTCTTACTTTTGGCTCCGACAAACGTATGCGAATACCCGGATGAAAGTCCTCCATTGGTACATGGATCCAACCTCATTAAAGAATTCTTTGAAATCTCTTATTTAAATAACCCACAACTCGGAGAATTTCCATTCATAATAATAGATTCTGTTAACAAAAGCAAAATTTTAAATGTTATATCAGTTAAGGCCAAGAACAATATCTTGGGATGCTGAGGAAACATTGAACTCGCTACACTAGGGAAATTAATACAAGTGGAGCATAAAAAAAGGATCGTACGATGGAAAGCGAATATTTTAATTATTCGAAAACAAAGTTATTAACCGAACTGACATGACAAAAGAAATGGTTTCCAAGATAAATTCGTTTATCATTGCACAAATGTAGCTTTCCTCATTCAAGATTATTTCACAGTCCTTTAAATTTTTTCTATATGATCTTCTGGGTTTATTTATTTTTAAACGCAAAATTGGCTAAATTTAGTGACTGTCACGTTTTGGAAATGCTTGAGATCCCGGGTGGAAAATCAGCTAAAACACAAGAAGCAACGGTTCTCCCATTACAAACGTTCATGAAATGGCTTCATAAGATATTTTACATGTATAGGGATGGATGGCTTTGAGTATTGGCTTCTGTTTGTTACTTCATACAAGGATAAAGACTGAAATACAAAAAAAATAAATAAAAATAAAATGGCTGAACGTGTGGTAATATTTAAGGAAAATAAAAGAAACGAATAATTTCAAACCCAGAAAATAAAGAGTTTGATAAATCATTTTTTTTTACACCCTTTTTAGCCAAAAGTCTCTTTACCCTGAGAAAAAAAAAAGGGAGCCGGTTCGATTCCTGTCGGAAGTACAAATTTTTTCCAGTGAGACGTCTCAATTTAGGCCGATTTTTATTAATTTCCCTGTTTAATAAAATAGAAATCTCGACTTACTTGGGGTGGAACGCTTAAAAAAAAAAAATAAAAATAAAAATAAAATAAATAAATAAAAAATAAATAAATAAATAAAATAAATAAATAAAATAAATAAAAAAATAAATAAATAAAATAAATACATAAAATAAATAAATAAAATAAAGGATGCAACTCAGACACGTGTGACTACTTAGAAATAACGTTTATATGAATAAGGAATGATGTCAGATAAAAAAAAATCCTTTTAATAAATAATATATAAATAATTAAACATTCATAGGGTTCGCCTGATTAACACATGATTAGTTGTGGCAAGACATTTTGATACATTTTCAGGGCCAGAATGGATTCACTCCCCGTCATCTCTTATACAACAAGCGCGCGCGCGCACACACACACACACACACACAGAGGCACATATCTATCTATCTATCTATCTATCTATATATATATATATATATTAATGTTGATAGTGTGTATGTGTGTGTATGCGTGTATAGGTACAAATAAGTTTACGAATTCCTCGTAGTAAGGGAAATATACGCACGCATATATACACGCATGCTGACAGGAACACGCCAAAATAGAAACAGATCCAAGAGCACATAGAGGTCACTAAAACATTAAAAGATTAAATGCCGATAACTACTCGCTGGACAAACCTTAATTGTTTTATGACCCTTCACGCAGAACTCTTCATTGACAATTCTAGAAAGAAAATTCGGATTGCCAACACACAAACAGAATGTCTCATATCGAGAATATTCCACATTGAACATGAAGAAAAATTAATTATTTTTAATAATATGTAAAAATCTCCACTTTCACCTGAAGACGGTTGCGAGACCAGACCAGAAACACGTGTCGTGAAATTATGTAAAACAAAGTATAATATTTTTTTCTCAATAAATCCACATTACAACCAAAAAACGTTTGCGGCACCCCTCTTCTTTTTTTTAATATACATACTTTTCTCGTTGGAACCACTACAACATATTTCTTTTATATATATATATATATATATATATATGAAGAAAAATATATACAGAAAAAACAAACAAAAATCCTTATATACAATTATGCTGTTTTAATGTTAATATGTCAACGTCGGACGTTTCGGTCTAATAAACCATCTTCAGGATATATTCATAAATTATAATTAACATTATCAATTCAACATGACAAAGACCATGAGAAATTTTGGATAGAAAATTAGATGAAAACACTGAATCAAGGCACCTTGTCTGTTGTATGTAATGAAACTTGCATGAAAAAGAAACAAAACGATTGCTGCCTTAACACACAAGTCTTACACACACACACACGTATAAGTTTCATTAAAGTCGACTGGTAAGGTTATGCCAATAAGCTTTTTATTCAATTGTTCAAGTGTTTTCTTTTCTGGACATATGGTGTCTAAAAACTGACCGAATGTTCTATATATCCGAGTTATTCTATTAGCTTTTACCATAAAGAAAGCCAACACTCAAGAGTATCAACTACAGACACGGCCACAATGTGCTGATCGTGTTTAGAATATAACAAAACATTACCAACACTATAGATACACAATAAAAATCTACATATTCAGTTAAAAAAATAATTCCTTGATAATGGTTATTAGAATAGCCAAAATCGCTCGGACATATAGACAATTGGGACATTGCTTTACACACTTTAAGTGAGAAAAGAAAAAAAAATGCACAAATACAATAAAAATTGAATAAAAAACTTAATCGAAGTACCTTTTCATTCGTCTTGTATAACTTGTATAAAAGA